GTTGAAGCGTGCGTTACAGTCTAAATCGAGAATACTGTGCAATAAATATATTGAGAAACATTAGAAAATTAGGGAATTATGTTAATAACTATAATATTTTAGTAGTTCAAATACAAAACATCATTTTTCTGTAACTGTTTATTTTGGTCTGGATTAACTGAAACCACAAAGAGCGAAGCGACTTGCAAAGGTGTCAAAGGATTCTGGAAACATACAGCTGCAGTTCGTGTTTTCGTGAATATGGAAAGTACTCGTTCCAATACATATCAACCAATAATTTGGAATCAACGTGCTGAAGTCCAGTTGGAGAAGTACCCCAAAGATTCTCGAATCGAAACTATTTTTCCACGTGTCACGGAGAGTCGAAATTACTTACATTATAAATGTGAAAATGATAATGTTACTTCTACGCATCTTTTGGAATATGTTAAGTATCGAGATAAACACAGAAATAAATTGGTAAAAAAATCGACAAGAAAGGTTGAGAAAAAAGCTAGCCAAGAAAACAATTAAAATATTGTTGTCTCCAAATAAACAATAAAATTCACTATGAAGTTCTGGCATGTAATATTACAGATTTTAAAATAAAGTTCACGGCTAAAAAGTGTACAAGCATGAATTTTTCTACAAAAGTGCCAGTGGAAGTGAAAACATGGCTCTAAATGAGTGTTAAATCTAAACATGCCACAAAAAGCGATCGTATCATTCAGCAGTCCGCGCCATAGAATCAAAATCTGAACAAAACGTTTGCAGAGTTTAGCTCAAAGATTTGTTGGCCAGCAAACTACAAAATTTTCATAAAAATCATGTAATGGTAAAAAAAAATTGTCACTAGCCTTCTTTGTGGTGCCCTCTCATTATTTTCGAAAATTGAGAAATTTTAACACTTCAAAACTACAAAACTGAGTATAGAGATTTTTGCCTTCAACGAAATCTGTTCAAACAATTAGCTCTTTAAAAAAGGTCATGCACACATTTATTAAAAACAAGCCTTTTTTGTGTAATTTATGCTTGAAATTAATTAATTTTGTAAATGAAATTAATGCAGTTTCGTCAAAAACCACTCCAACTTATTCTTTAAACTGTCATCACAGCTACAACAAGGAACACCTAAAAAATGGAGCAGGTCTGATTTTCGTTGAACTCTGATTTTCCGAAAATTGCAAATTTAGGAGAAAATGCGAGAAATTTTCTGCTATTGCAGCATCACTAGTTTTCAGTTCATTCTTCAGTACACTAACTCCACATTACTGTTCATCGGGATGAATATTTGTCATCTCTAACTCCAAAAATTGAGAACTTCTATTTTACCAATTTTATAACTGCTTTTGAAGCTAAAGTATGAATCTTAAAAATATTTATTTGTGCCTAATTTAAGAACTGTTGATCCGGATAGCCGAGATTGCTAAGACAGTAGTGACCATCTCGAATCGAAGGCTCGGGGTTCGATTCCCGCCTCGGGCATGGATGTATGTGTGATCGTCCCTTCACCCTTCATCATCATCATCATCATCATCATCATCATCATCCTATGACTTCTTTAAAGAAGTATTAATAATTCCTTGCGCAAGCAGGAGGCCCTTCCCCTTTATGGGGTGCAAGGGGGTGGTGTGCAGTTGGTTTATAAAAGAAATTAAGAATTACTCGTATCTTATTTGAATGAAAATTACGCATGATTGTAAATTTGGAAGTATTTTATTTTATCCACTTTGGTTAGGTAATGTGAAACATAATGCTACTATAATCAGTTTCGTTATGAAGTACTTTACCGCTCTAGTGTGGTAATGAACTTCATTACTACACTAGTACGGTAATGGCATACGAGTAGGGTTATTCTGAGACGATAACTATTCCATGGTTTTGTTTTCACACCAATCCTTAAAAATTGAGTACTCACGCTCATATTTCTTCCTGGATTTGTATGGTAACAAAGAATCTTTAGCAGCATTTACTGCTATTTCTATTTCTGAGTCTGAACTGCATTTCCTTATGTCGAAATGTGTACACTGTGCGCGTTTCAATTGTTCTCCTTGTTAAGAACAGTGTCGCCACATAAAAATGTGAATACTAAATGAAAATTACAATCTTAAACCTAACAAAATTTTACAAAGTCTATAAAACGTTGTACGATATTCCTGTCGTAACATCTTATTACAATACTCAATTGGTTCCCAAACTCGTCCTAACGGACTCGTTTGGCAATTTTCCAACCTCGTGTTGTAATCAGATGTATTACGACACTAATATCGTAAATAACTAATATTTCGTCCATCTTCCTTGTTCTTTTCATTAACGGATTCACTCATTTTAGTTTTTCTTTCTATGCACCGATTCACTCAAACACACTTCAACGGCGAAACACAACTGCGGTCACCGGACAACTTGCAACTTTTGTCACAATATGTCGCTTCAAGTGTTGCTTGCCTAGCCCCCTAAAACATATTTTTCCACTTTAGTTATAAAAATATGTTGATACCGTGTCTAGGTATTTTAATGTCATAACAGTAAGCATGGAGAGTAGATTATACTATTTATCATTTTATAGCTCATTAAATGTTTATTTGTTAGGCAACTTCGAAAGAAGGAGGTAATACAATTCGCCATGCACTTTGTTCAGCCATATCTTCAGTAAGTCCCCCGATTTCAATAATTTTTCCTTTGCTTTTAAGGATGTAATCTCCAGTGGTATCACAATATTTTAATAATAAAACTCTCTAAATAATACTCTCATAATGGCATCCAGAGAGAAGGAATGAAGTGACACAACACTTCAACAGTGCAAAGAACACTAGCGCCTATATCTGCATAGGGAGGTTTGAAACGTGGATATTCTGCGATGAATATGGCTCAGCCAGAGGCTCAACGAATTGTAAAAGGACTTTTTAATTTTAGGAGGGAATGATGCCCCCTTTCATTTTCATAATTTTCTCAAAAACATGTCGTTTCTTTTACTTGGATAGCGTTCACTTGAAAAACAATTCTCTTACAAAAATGATAAATTTCCTGCTTCCATTAAAATGTTTAAATTATCGAAAATTACCAACGTTGAACTTTACCTTCAAACTTCTTTCAACTTTCCTTATTCAATCTAAATTTGTTTTTCTTAAAGCTATGTATTCGTCAATATTAGCACCACCGAGTTACTTTATTGTGGTAGTAGTAGTGTTCTGTGTTTACTAGGCTGTCCGGGTGACGCCGCGGAAGCCTACGCTCTTAGTAGTGTTCTAGCATATATTATAACCATGTCATTAAAAAGGAGCAATTTAATTTTATTCGTTCTGATACCTTCTTTTACCAACTAAAGCGGATGCCTTTGAATGAAAAATTAGAATTTTTTGCAGTTGATGGCTCGGTTATTCATTTTAATGTTGAAATATTAATGTTTACCTTTGTTTTTCATTCTATAAGCGAGGAGTGTTTTACCAACATGGTCAGTGAAGTACTATACTGTCGCATTTCTTTCTTCGTTCCTTAAAATTTAAACTCGAGACTTCATTCAGTTATTCATAGACAATAACTGCATTTTTGAAAACAAAATCAAGGAACCAAAAGAAAGGAATAGTCACCAAAAAAAACAAAGAACCTACAAATGTCAAAGAAATGTCGCAGAATTTTGTCGTTAGGGAAAATACAGATATTGTTCTACAATTAAAAACTATATGTAAATATTTCTGATTATTAAATAGCATTATTTGGTTTTGGTTAGAGATTTTTTCAGATAATGATCAATAATATTGTTTACCATATTTTTACTTTTTCGTCCTTCCTAGTGAAAGAAGAGTAAGTATTGTAATCGTGCTACGGAAAACTAGGAATTATCGAAAATACAAACTCTTGTCGTCGGGCCCTGGAACCGAAAAAGTAGATAAATCCTGTCCCTTTATGTAGAAAATGACTGCTTTCACTACGTCATGCAGCCATAATCCATGTTTTATGGATCCTTGATACCGAAAAATCGATTAACGGCAATCGATCTGTCGGTCCGTCCGTTGGTCAACGCCAGCGCCTAAATCGTTTAGCCGATTTTCTTCACAATTGATATTCACTGATCGATCAGAACAAAATCGAGTTTCAAATTTTATGATTATATTTTGATTTTTGAAGGTGCTCTACATGAAGTCTCATACCAATTAAAAGATATTCTCAAAAATGATCCCACATTTTTTTATTAACTTTGTCCTTGAATAGCGTAAAGGACGCGTAAGAGAATAGCGCACGTTCCATGTTCGTTTTTCGAAAATGGCAAAAGTTCAATTTTTGAGGACCTTTCTACAACTATAATATTGAAGATAGAGATTTTTGCACGAAATTTTTCCCGTAATTTTGCACGAAATGCAGGCAATTTAAATTTTTAAACTTTTTTTTTCTCTCAAAAACCACACCAACATTTTTTCAAATTATGTCCTCATATGAATCATGGAACGATAAAAAAACGTGATGCTAGTTTTATTTCCAACATCATTTCGTTTTTTCGAAAATTGCAAAAAGTTAATATTTCAAAACAACACAATTGAAGCTAGATATTTTTGGCTTAGCCGAAGTCTGTTTAAAAAATTAGCTTTGTTAAAAAGGTCATATACAATTTTTTAAATAAAGCTGGTAGATTTCGCCTAATTTGTGTCTGAAATGTATGACTTTTTTCCCTTCAAAATAACCTCTCCAAATTTTTTCTTCAAACTTTTTCCTACCCTCAGAGGAATCAACGCTTAAAAGAATAGCCCGGATCTCATTGCCGTTAAACCCTCTGAATTTTCGAAAATTGCAAATTTAGAAATAACGCAAAAAACTATTTGTCGTTGTTGCACCAGTAGTTATACAGTTGTAAATCTGTCCATATCCCACAGTCCCGCCCCATCTCTTATGTCCCGACGCCTTCGCTCAGTCCTTTTCCTTCAAGAGTTTCCGCTTGGCTCGTCTGTGACGTCCGCCTCCTCGTGGTGCGCAGGCCGCCGTTGCCCGCGGCCGCCGCCGCCGCCGTCGGCGCGGTGCCTCTCCCACAGCCTCTGGTGGCGCCCCTGCCGGTGCCCGTGCCCGTGCTGGAGGCGGCCGCGCCCGCCGCCGGCCGCGCCTGCGCCCTCGCCGCCCCGCGCCGCCGCCCACTCGGCCGCCGCCGCCGCGGTCGCCGCCGCGCGGCCGCCGCCGTCGCGCCGCCGCCGGAGGAGGGGTGGAGCGCCCCGCCCCGCGCGCCCAAGGACGCGGCCGCCGCGCACGCCACGCCGACCCCGTCACCAAGGCGTCATGGACAACATCATGGGCAAGCTGCCCACCAAAGAAGCAGCCGGTAAGTCAGCTGCAAGGCTGGATGATTGCAGCGCAACTCGCTTGGCGTGCCCTGGCCCGGCGCTTACTATCTCCGCTGCTTGTTGAGACGACCGACCGGCTGCGATAGCTCAGCGGCAGCATTGTCATTCCCTCTGCGACAACACTGACCAGGACCTAGGTAGCAAGTCTTTCTGTGGGTATTTTCGACACTGCTACAACTCTACATTTGCACATGTGAACCCAAAATATATTTTGTATCGTGTATTTTATAACGCAACCTCCCACTTCCTGACTCAACAAGCAGCGGGCTACAACAGTGGCCCACAAACAAGCGCTGGGTCATGCACTCTGAGATGAAGTTGTGTGTGGTATCTTCTGGCTATCAGTGTTGGTATTACTGGCTAGTTGCTATCTTACTACTCAACTTCAACTTCGCGCAAAACGCACAAGTTCGAGACATCTTTATTGTACCTGCCGTATAAATACCCATATGCACGTTGTTGATAACTCAACAGCCTCGAACTCATATTCAGGAAACGTATGTGAAGGGTTTGTTAACTTCAAATTTAGATGAAGAATTGATTCGTTGTCAATGTTTTTTTTTTTTTGTTTTTTATTAGATAGCTGTCGTTCGTCGGTGTAGTCGTAATCTCTGCCTGCAAGAAGAATGGTCAGGAGTCGACGAGGATAATGAAACAGTCGAAAGCTGACTCTCGCTCATAAAACAATGTGGACGATGATGACATCAGTTCTTTCACCAGGCGCGGATCCACGGGAGGAAATGATGGCAATTCCTCCCCCCCACACACACACACACACAAAGTTGTTCAGTTACTATTAATATAAACTTGACACGAAACTTTCAAGCAGAAATATTTTCGGATAATCGTTTAAAACGAATTAAAATCGTATCGCAGCATGAGCTGAGTGTATCCTGCGACCAAAATCTGTAGCTAGCCTCACTGTTTTTTAATGTGAAAGATGATGTAAATCTGATGCCATGCCTCTTCAAACTTCCTTTTTTATTTCTATCAAGCTTAATTTACAGTAAAAAATGTATTCAACAGTACAAAATGGTTATTTTTTTATTGAAATAAAAAATAAAATAAGAAAAGAGAGAGAACTTGAACACAACTGTTTTGCAAATGTATTAAAAAGTTATTTTTTGTTCACAGGCAAGCTGCAAATGCGAAGTCTGTGGCCTGGAATTTCTGGGAGGTGGTGCTTGAAAACACATCTTGCAGGCGCCAACACGCCAAAAAGGTTAGTGATTGAGTTTGTTTCTAAACTACGAAACAAACATTACAAAATTTCATTTTGATTAATATTATTATTATTATTTTATTATTATTATTATTATTATTATTATTATTATTATTATTATTATTATTATTATTATTATAGCTCGTTACAATCTCGTAGAGGGCAAGGCCTCCGATTAGCGCGTGAGTTACGTCAGCTGGATTACGTATGGATTAATTACATGAGGTAATAATTATGAACGGAAAAATATCTCAAAATCCAGCTAGTGTCTTTTACACATCTAAAATTAGTTAGTACCGGAATAGATGGCTTAGGGCATTAACTGATGACACTGCGTTCTCTCTGACCGGTAGGTCCAAGGCTCAAGTCCTGACGGTGTCAGGATTTTCTACCCTAGCCTGTCAGCTAGGTCGAATTCAGTCGCAGACCGTGCGCGATCTTTCCTACCTCTTCCTTGTCATATCCTCAACCCCTACTTACAAACACTTACACTAACATCCACTACACTACCGCAGGAGATCGGTCGCGAGCGTAGAGCTTGCCCCAGCTGGGGCGGTACCCCGCTGGAAGGAGATACCTGGTTGGGAAAGCCCGCTAGCCGACGGTGGGTCGGCGCCAATCTCGTCATCCAGCGGGGGAAGATCACCGCCACCGCACGAGGGGGGGAACATGCACTACACCTACAGGACTAATGACACTAGGAGATGACGCGCCCGGAATCACTAATCAATCAATCAATCTAAAATTAGTGTAAATAAACTTCACTAAACATCAGTATTTCTAGGAAGAGTTTATGATTATTTTACAAATTAATCATTTTAATATTCCCAAATCGAAAGGTTAAAACCAAATAATCTCTATAAGCTCATTGTAATAACATTTTGAGTCATTCCACAATTCGCACACTGTTTTGACTTTAGGTGTTCAAAATTGATTGAAACATCTTGAATTTGTTATGAGGATAACTGAAAAATGCTTAAATGTTTTTGTTAGAATTTAACTCCTTTATGAAGGAATTTATGCCGCATGAAATTATCCGAAAAATCGCCCGCCAAACTGAGATTAGTTTCAAATAAAAGCTCAAATACAGTTATTTAAAAATATTTATAGTTTTATGTATATGTGAAATATCATTAATTAATTAAATCTCAATTGATTATAAAAGAATTCAATTTTTCAAATTTCACATAAATAAAATTCAATATTAAAAATAATAATATATTCTTAATTTAGTAAACTTCAAATGTTCACAATTTCAAATCGGGATGTTTATAAACAACGTAATTAAAAAATATTAATTGAACACGAGCGCAGCTACATAGTATACTGTATTTTTTAGAGAGAGAGAGAGGGGGGGGGTATTGGCCCTGAAAATCGAAGCTCTCATTGTGCTATTCACTTTATGTTTTTGACAATTGATGACCAGAAAAAGAACGATACTTATTGAAATCCCGGAATAAAATACTGAAACTAGTCATTGAAAAATACACTTTTGTGGATCTATTATTTTATTAACTTTTGTAAAATGTATATTAATTAATGAATATATGTGAACTTCTACTACTTCTTCAACTTCAATTACTCATTCTATTCCAATCTTCCATTCTCATTTTAATAATAAATAGGACTGAGTGCATTTGATTTCATACAGCGTGAACCAAATATACAAATCCTGAATTTTTCTGGTCAGTTTTATAATTTTTTTACGGTATTTATACAATTATTAGTTAGTCTCTTAAGAAAATTAGAGGCTGCGTGTAATATGTTGTGAGCTAAGAAAATAATTAACTATTCTCTCAGTAGGGCCTACTTTCAGCATTGATTGGCCAAAATGTTATTCAGCCCTTCTCAACTTGAGCAGACAAATTCAACAAGACTTCTCAACTTGATAATGTTTCTTCTATAATATTCTATTATTCATTCATTATTCATTATATTCAGTTAATTCATTTCAAGTGGTTTGCAAAATAAGATTACTAGTTGTCTTACAAAATGTTCCATTACTTCCATCATTACTATCAAATTACATGTTGATTGTCACTTTTCTCTATGAAAATAATTAATTTATCTCATCATTTTGCATGGCAAGCATTGCCAAAGCTTAAGGTTCCAAATTAATTCCAAAATTGTCAAAGTTGAGCATTCTTCAAAGTCATTTTTTAAAATGAAGAAAATAGATGATATAGCATTTTGGTGTTTTTTAGTTCAAAGTTTTACACAACAGTAGTTCAAAGTGTGAATTAATAGTTACAAAATTTCAGTAGGATCATCCAAATAATGAAAATCTGTGATATGGAAAACCATAGCTTTTTATATCCAATTCATTTTACTTTGACGATGGACAATAGTTGAGGCACACCTGAGTTTTTTGAAAAAAAATTAGAAAAGATGTGTGTGATTAACATTATGAATAACTTTAAAAAAGAACCATATTTTCATTGTCACTATGTTAGTATTTGCTATATTAATATACAGAAAAAGTATAAAGTAGTGAATGAAGTTTCCTACAAATACGCAAGTTTCATCTTCTGAATTCCTTACTTTTCATAGAGTGTTATGAATTATAGGAAACGTGTGAATAAGAAGTTACCCGTATCTGCCATTTTATCAAATCTATTACACAAATGTTCTTTGCAAGAAAGAAACAATAAAATTAATTACAATAAACAAAAGATGTTTCAAATTAGTTTTGTAATAACAAATTGTTAACAAAGGAAGAACACTTTCCATGCATGTTTGCATTTCAAATCAGCAATCGCATGCTCCATTGAAAATGAACAATATGCAATTAGGTGATGTTAAGGTAACAAAATTTCTAGATCTCTCAATTCAGTCAAACCTCAAATGAAATGTACATATTACAGAATTAAACACTAAATTAAGTTCATTATGTTACGTATTCAGAATTCTTTCAAATTCAGTGAGCTTTCATGCAGCTAGTTGCATGTATTTTACAAATGTGAAATCCTGCCTGAGATATGGCATAATATTCTGGGGAATGTTATCATGTAGTACCCAGACCTTCAGATTGCAAAACAAAATTATTGGAATAATGAAAAAATACCATCTGCGTGATCCTTGCAAGCTCCTCATCATTAAGCTTGGAATCTTACTACTGCCTTGCCTATTTATTTACAAATCTGTAATATTTGTCAAAACTGACTTACTAAACAGTGGGAACATATTTTTATGCAATACTGATATTTATAATTACAACACATAGAAATTACGTTTATCAAATGTCAGTATCAACACCTCACTACCAGAAATCAATATACAACATACATCACAATACATGTACTATTAGCATTAATAGCATTACATTGTTGTTAAAGTGGTTGTTGCTATTCCAATCTTCTTTTTCCTGGTTCATGTTGTCTTTTCTTAAAACAATGAATTTCATTATCTTTTGATCCATCAGAAGATTTAAATAATTTGCATTCTTGTTAACTTCGATTTTATCCTGTGATTGCTAGATTCAGAAAAGTATCAATTGTCTTTGTGATTTCATATACTCTGCATCTATGAGAGTCCTCACCATTAAGTATTGACTTTATGGCATGGCTACAATTGGAAAGTATTGCAACTGTTACGGCCCTACTTAAAATTACTGAAAATATACATGAACTCCTGTATGTTTTTTATATGTTAATTGTTTCTTTGACAGAGTTCAAACTATTTAAATCCTTCCATATCATTATATTTGTCGTAGATTCTCATGGGGGATGATACTGGAACCTCCCCCCAGTGACACTGGAACCTTCTAAGGGAGGTATCGGGCCCACAGGCAAATTGGGGGAGGGAGGGAGCTGGAGCAGTCAAGAGGGGCACATGCAATGTACTACCTAACCTATCAGAACTGAACTATTTTTAAAATATCTATTTGTTATTTAAAAAATATTTATAAAATATAGTTTACAAACACTGCTTGCATGAGCGGAGGTAAGGCCACATCTGCAGCAGTCTGAATCTCTTTTTCTTTGTGAAATGACTGCAGTAGTCAAGATAATTTAGTGAGAAGATTCGTACAAAAACACAAGTTAGTATGTATTTGCACAAATCAGATTTATAAAAGGGATAGTTCTAGGAATGTTCTAATGTTATTATGTGCTTTGCTGTGATAAATAGTCATGAGTGATAAGTGATAGTAGACATAATAAACATCATTTTTATAACAAATTACAAACTTGTTGAAAAGTTAATTTGTATTTCAAAATGTCTGAATCTACAACTAAAATGAAATGCTGACAGTACAGTATTGAATATTTGAAATATACTTATTCTCCTCATTGCCCATGTGTTTAATTTACCCAAAAGATTTTTCAACTTAACTGTGTACAACCTTTCAGGCTACAAGAGCATTTAATTAATATGCATGCTCTCAATAACAAAGATTTATTGAAGTTTGAAAGACTGGTAACATTAACATTTAACACAGCCAACTGCATTAAACATTGTTGCTTATCTTCTTAACAAAATGATGATGGACTACAAGGGTCATTTTTATTGTTAATTGTAAAAGCAGGAAATTCACACACAATTGGCGAGGAATTTATTTTGCCAGCAATCGAGGAGATAAAAACAACTGTTCTTCACCATAAGAATCTGTTACAGAAAAGTTCCTCTGTCAGTAATAATTCAATGCAAAGAAAAATAGATAAAATGGCCAAAGATATTGAATTAGTATTATTAGTGATTAAAGACTAGCAAATTTTGCATTCATTTCAGTGAATCAACTTTACCAAATAACAAAGCTTTACTGTTATTATATGATCAATTTTTAAAAGATGAAAAAATTAATCAAGAATTATTTGCTGAAAATGTGAAAAATGATGCAAAGAGAGATTCTATCCTTAATATCGTGCAAAATATTGTCATGAGAAAGGAATTCCTCTTTGTAATATTCTGCAATTACCACAGATGATGCTCCAGTAATGGTAGGGCATCATTAAGATTTCATACTATATTTGAAACAAGCAATATTGTAATACATTGGTTACTCATCATCGGCATTTAATTACTAAAAGTTTGAATGAATGCCTGCATATATCGCTCCGTTACATTATTAGAGCAATCAATAAGATTAGATGCAATTCATTGAATGACAGATTATTTTGTCAGCTGTGTGGGAAAAATGATGATGATTACAATCGCTTGCTGCTGCACACAGAAGTACATTGTCTCTGTAAAGATGTTAGTTTGAATCATTTTTTCAATCTATTTGACCCAGTATTGGGCTTTCTTGAAGACTGATGAAAAATTGCATAAAAACCTGATTCTATTAAAAAACAACATTGCTTATTTGTCAAACCTGTTAAAAATATTTAATGAAGTTAATTTACAATTGCCAGATTATGAGTTGAATCTATTTTAAAAAAATCAGAGCTGCTTTTGCGAGCAAACTTCTTCTTTTCAAACAAAATTTAGATAGAGGTGAATACACTTTGCCACATTATCAGCAATCAATATACTCTCTGCAAAATATTTACTTCTGCAAACACAGAGACGATTTTCTCGCTGATTTTACAGAGTGTTTCCAATAACATGAATATACTGAGTTAGGTTTTAGATTATTTTGCAAATGCAGATACTGATAATTAATAAAATTTGGAAGAGGAACTTATAGAACTTACAACTAATAAAGAACTGAAAATAAAATTCAAATATGGATACCAAGACTTCAGAAATCAATACTAGTTCTCCACCCTGAGTTGTGGACAATAGTGCAGGAGTTTTTTATTGGAGTCACTACAACATTCTTGGCTGCGTGTGGGTTCAGTGCAGTAGCTAATTTACAGTCAAAGAAAGAGAACATTCTACACATCACTCATCAATTCGCATTTGAGGATGATGAAATTGGAACTCGACGTTGGCAAATTGTTAAAACTTCATCAGTTATAATAACCTAATTAATTATTTATGTTATTATTTATTATTTGTTTTGTGTATATCACATTGTTTTTATTTTTTACTGATTTTGTGTTTATATTTAAAATTTTAAGAAGTAATTTAATTGCACTTTTGGTTAGCACATAAATTACCAACAGATAATATGCAACTATATTACAATATTTTTTAGAGATAGTTTTTATTCTTCAAAGAAGAACACTGCTTACATATTAATTTTCATGAAGAATATTATTCATTAGAATTGAACATTTTACTTTCTTGATTTGATTATTGCCTGAAATACAAATTTATCTGAATTTCAGTACTATTAGTAGTATCATTGAAGAAAGATTTCCAACAGTTGTATACATATAACGGTAGAATGCTACATAACTACCTAATAGTATTTGGGTAGCCTGCATGAGTTTACATTGCTCTCAGTCAGTTACTCAGAGTTATAGCTGTTCCAGACCACCATTTAGTATACTGGTGCCAAACTAGCAATCATTTAGTATACCTGTATCAGTATACTGGTGCCGAACACATTCTAAAAGAAAAGAAAAAAAAGCATGTGGCAAATTTGAAGGCTCTCAAACCAAAAGAAGTTATTAATAGCTCATTCAATTCCTCTCTACAAGATGAATTGTTTGGATTAATTTTTAGCCTAATTCGGCCAGAATATTCTGGAAAATTCTCAAGACAGAAAATTTTCTGGGGAATTTCAAGGTATCTGCAGTGGTAAAACATTGTGAATTACTTCATTACCTTTCCACCATAACATGAATCCTTACTATTTGATAGATCATATTGACAACAATTTAAACTAATTTTGTAATGAAACCAAATGATTGTTTTTAACGAGTATTTCGAAGTATTATTTTTCATGTAACTTTTTATGTTGAAGGACAGATGAATGAGACAACTGGATGATTTTTAAACTTTCTTACTATTATGACTTTCCAGAGCACAAATAAAGATGTCTAACATGAAAATACACTCCACAGCCACCTGCTAAATTAGTATTTAATATTATTTTATAAAAACTAAGAAAATAAGAATGAGTACAAAAAAGTCTCAAATATAACTTAACATAACAAACCATATCATACCACATCAAATAACATTAAAAATATCTGCTTGTTTTAGTGAAATGATAATTTTTATTTATGAAAATAACTGCTATCAACATAGATATATTTCTGATTTTATATTTTTTGATGTTGATTGAAACATCTTAAATTTTAATTTTTTATACACAATATTACTTGTAGTGAATGAGTGAATTGTAGTGTTGACTTTTAGTGGCCATTATACAATTAATGCAACATATTTTTAATATGCTTACTTTTTATATTCATTTCAGGTGAAATCCCAAGAGATCTTACGACAGCTACAGAGTTCAGGCCAGACCTTTTCACGTGATGAGAAGACCAAGATCTTGAAGTGTGAAGTATGTGATGTGGTAGTAAATTCGTCCCAGCAATTGCAGACACATTTAGCAGGTTTGTAGCTTTTAAGATAAAAAATTATTGTAAAAGTTTGAAAAAGTTTCTCTGCTCTAACCATTGGATTTTTCCTCTATTGTATATTATATTCTGATAATAAATAACAGTTCTGATAACAAGAAAACTACTGAAATATAGGCAGGCTCAAAAGTGCTCATCAAACACTCTTGAAAGGGGGCAAAAGTTATTAGCATTTCTTATAACTACTCAATCAAATTGTCATAATATCTGTCTCATTTGTGTAAAAGAATCAATAAAAAATTTTAAGCAAATAAATTGTAATAAAATAAATAAAAATAAAAAATAAGGAAAAGTTCACCTTCCATTTAAGTTATTTTTTCCAAATAATCTTTCACCTTTGAGTTGAAAAATGTCACAGATTACAACCATGTGATTGTAAAATTAAGGTTCAGTCATTAAAGTTGATAATCCTGAAGATTGTAGTTTTTGTGATGCTATAATGTTTTGCTCCTGTTCTCTATTATCCATGTGGTGCACATCTCAACCAGTTCAATTTATGTCCCAAGACAATTCTTACTTGTAGTTTTTATGAAACCCATTTACAAACTCCTTAAATCAAAATATGCATGTGCTTCTATGTGATTGTAAAATTAAGGTTCAGTCATAAAAGTTGATAATCCTGAAGATTGTAGTTTTTGTGATGCTATAATGTTTTGCTCTTGTTCTCTATTATCCATGTGGTGCAAATCTCAACTAGTTCAATTTATGTCCCAAGACAATTTCTACTTGTAGTTTTTATGAAACCCATTTACAAACTCCTTAAATCAAAATATGCATGTGCTTCTATTCTGAAAGTGTTTCCCTTTTAGTTATCATGTCATTTGTGTTATTACCAATTCTGTGGTCACAGGATAAAAGTTCTTAAGTGAATTATTGTCAAAATTGGGTTAAGTACTGAAATTGAAAATTAAGTATCTATATTTTATTTTTGTAAAATGACCAAATTCATTTTGCCTTCTTAATGACAAAAAAGCGTTAGGAAATATAGCTTAATTGGCTTAATATAGCTTTCATCTCAATAATCCAATCATTGTTTTCTCAAAACTATGATTTTTGACTTAAGAACTTCTGCCCTGTGACTATAGAATTAATTGTAATAACACAAAAGCAATAAAACAAGTATCTGTTCTTAATATTTAAATAATCTATTTCATAGAAGAGATAAATTACAGTCATATGAGAAGAATCTGTGTTAAAAATTACCTAAGTTTTGAAATTTTCAGAGGAAGAATCTCTTATACTTCAAAACAGAAAGATTTTGTAATGATTTTTGATAAAACTGGGCAAAAACAAGGTTGATTGTAATTCAGAGTTTACTTAATGCATTACTCTCTCCACAAGCTTACTACTTGTTAACTGCTAAGTTTATGAGGCAATAGAGATGCTGAGACATCATGCTTTGTTTATATGAACTTCCGAAGGTTCTGGTTTGCATCAAACAGCACACTGCGTTGATATGAAAGTTATCGTTCTGATAGATAACAGAAGCTGATCAATCTTGATAAGGAATTGCACAAGCACTTTTAACTACTCTAGATAAGCATGATGCATTCAACCTCACTTCTTCTTATTTTCATCCATTTAAAGATGAAAACTTTTGGCTTTTTAATTATGTTTTAAGAAGAATCCTTCCTGACATCTCTGTGCAGAAGCTGAATGACATTTGGAAGCCCAAAATACATTTTTTATTGTTTAAACCATTTTTAAGGCTTAATTATCATCACATCTTTAAATGTGATTTGTATATTTTCATTGATTTTTTATTTCTTTTGTTTATATTTGAATATTGTAGTTATTAATATTGTATATTGGTTTTACAATTAATTTACTGACAACAAGCCACTAAAGACACAATATTTCATGACAAAATGTGGCTGCATCATCAAGTGTTCTGTAATTAAGCAGTTTCACCTATTCAAACTGTTTCTTTTGTCTAAGAATCACAAATGATTTATAGATATGAATAAATAAATATGAAGCACAAGTCATACTTATATATTTATATAACAATGGACATAATTTAATAACAAAATTTGGAGACATATTTTAAGAAAATTTGAAAATATAACTAGGTTTCTTGTAAAGTACCCCCCTCCCACCCAAAATTAAAATATATGTTTTATACTTGTAGGGCTCTGAATACCTTTCAATCAATCAAGGAATATCAATTTTGAAGAAAATCAGTTTAGGCATTAACATTGACCACAGACAGATAGGCAGATGTACTACCGTCAATCAATTTTTGGTATGAAGACTTACAGAACATGGATTCTGATTATACAATGTATTAGAGGAAGTAATTTACTATAGACAGGAAAAAGATTTATCTACTTTTCCATTATCAGGGCTCTGCAAAAATACTTTATCTGTCAAAAATTTACCTTCTTCCAGTGCATAATTACAATACTTTCTTTTTTCACAAAGGGTGAGAAAGTACAATGGAGAGAAGGTTTTAACAAATTAAAATGCAGATGCACATAATGTTTACTAAAGTACTCTACATATTTATCCAGGAACTATATATTCAAAAATTTGTTTAATTATTTCTTTATGACTGAACCTTAATTTTACAATCACATGGTTTAGTGATGTTACTCTGGAGGATGATCAATCACTGAACTGCGGAATCTGTGATGGGCTCATATGAAAGTGTATTATTTTAATTATGTTATTTTTCTAAAAAAAAATTATATGCATATTTTAAGTTAAAAATACAAAAATAGTTCTCATTTAAATAAAAAATGTAACATTTATGAGTCAAAATCCACCAATGACATCAATCCAAATGATACCACTAATAAGGCTTTAACATTAGAAGTTGATGTGAGCCATCTCTCTCTGTAGATGCTTCATACAACAGTTTAATGTGGTATTTGTTGGAGAACACATTGGCTTGATAGGAAAATCTTCTTAATCTAGGATAATCAGGATATTTTATGGGATCATTCAACTATTTTGTTAGCAGTACTAAAAAGTGAAATCTGTAGTTTGTTCACCAATGCAAGGTTTCTATAACTTGAGAGAGCAAAAATGTTTAGTTTTCAAATGTTCTGACCTCACTCTGTTGGTACTTTTATTCATCATTCAACTATACAGGGAAAAAAGGGGAAGAGATTCTGGTACTCAAGAAAACATGCACAGATTATAATTCTTCACCACGTATCAGATACATATTTTTATTGTTCTTTGATGAAAATAAATCAAATTATTGAAATTGAAATGGCATATGATAAACCTTTTTTCTAATGCATAACTCATTCAAGGAAAAAATCTATTTGCAAAGTTTAATTCAAGAAACAAGCGTAATTTGATTGTCTGTTGAGTTTTTGTATGACAAAAGTTACAAGCATGCTTGTTGTCACAGTTGGAGTGTTCTGTTTCAGGCAACAAGCATAAGCAAAAAGTGCTGAAGAAGGCGGCCCAAGGAGGCCAGAGCAAACTAGGGCCTTCCGCTGGAGTGCTGACCACCGTGAATGCAATTGCAGGCTCTCACCCTCCTGGAGGACCCGATGCCAAAGGTGAGGCAAAATGGGGTATTACTGTCATTTCTTGAGAAAGATGGGTGGGTTTGTTTTGTGTCCAAACAAAACAATGCATCTGGCTAAAAGTCTACGGGCATGGGCCCAGTCTGAAATACATGGAGGAGAGTGCACTTCAGAGTAAAAACATGAAAGTAATTATTGTTTCCTGTTCAAATTAAGACTGACATTGACTAAGTTCTTCATTGAATTTTAAATAAAACTTAGTTGAAAATTCAGTTTTCAAAAGAGATGTCCATGGTTCTTTTTGTGTTATTCTAAACAGTTCTTGCATGTGTTTATAAGCACAGAGGGGTGTACTTGAACCCCACTCCTCTTTTGTTTCACTCTTTGTGGTGCTCATGTCCACTCACCACAATCTCGTGAACTTTTATGTTGGCCTTGCCAGATGTATTTTTGAAATGTAAACCGTGAATGTTCCCGAAGCATTAATAATACTTCTCAACTCCGGTCCCTGAGGCACAAGAAGAATTCAGAGAGTAAACATCATCTGATATAGTTTTAAATTGCTAAGAATTTTATTTTAGGATTGAGAGCTTCTTTATAAGAGTACAGTAATTTATGTTTCACTAGGGATTTTAATTTTTTCACATTGGAAATAAAGATTTCAGTTTTAAATGTAAGATTTGCAACACACTGAATGGAGTTTATCAAAGAAGTAGATGCAGGTGATCAAAATGAGTAGAGAGTTAAGAATGAAAGTGGATTACAAGTTCCATCACTAGACTTCAGCCCCAAAACCGCTTTGTTTTACCATACATTCAATAATTAATTATCAAAATCAAATTTGGTGGTTTTGATCATGAAAATTCGTATGTAAATATCTAAATCAATCAGTTATATAATATGTGAGATAAAAATCCATATTCCATACAATCCAAATCAAGTATATAAATATTTTCCATCAGAATGAGCAAAAATAAAGATGAAAAAGAGGTAAATAAACTGTATAACAGTACACATTTGCAAAGTACACATTGTCGGAATTAAATAATATGGTTTGGAATTATGTAAAGTCAAATTTAAACAAGAGTTTCAAAGGGGTGTGTGTCCTATTAAGAATCAAGTATGGGATAGATATTTGTAGAAAACAACCTTATGCAAGCTTCATGTAGTTCTTTAAAAGAGTCTGAGTAGACCTACTGCAGTATCTGGGCCTAATTGAGACTTCAAGGAAAAAATATTTCAGCTACAGAAACAAAATTAATAAAGAAAATGTTTTTGAAGTGGATGTGCACTGAGCAATAGGTGCACCTTATTAATACTGCACTTAAGAAAATCATGTATGAAATGATTGACACAATGAAGACATTAATGGAACAAATGGTAACAAAGAAATTCAAAAGCACCAATGTAGTTGCCAAAAGTGGATCCCCAGATGTTCAGTAGAGTGATAATGAAGAGGGGAGATAGAGGAAGAAGAAAGGGAGACTGTGAATAATAAGAGAATATAATTTTCTAAACTAATCAGCTCAAAAAGGAATATCCTCTATGAAACATTTAGTTTTAACAAGATATGATTGTAGGAAGATGTAAAACCATTACAATCTACATTGCTGTTCATTGTGTTAGGTAACTTATAGTTAATAAGTTTTGGAGAAAATGTGAGAATTTCTGAGGCTCTAATTTGAAGATAATGATGATCAGACTCTTAACATACTTGCGATACAGAATTTAGATCTCTAATGTAATTGCAATGTTCCTTTATTCTTGTTTAGGGTGTGGGTTGAGTTTGTCCTGTATAATATGAATTGCATACCTGACAATCTATCTTATAAACAACATTTTCTATGTCATGAAATATCTTATCTTTAACATTTCTGATGACATTGCATTTATTAAACAATATACATACAATACAATACATACATACAATATGTATTTCTGATATTAACATTGTTAATGAGGTTTGCTTTTGTCAAATTGTTGGAGCAAATTGTAGAAGATATGTTTGAACATCATTTTCACTCCCAACATTTTTAAGATGTTTTGTCTTTTCTTAATATACTTTTTTACAAACAACTCCAAATGTTTGTTTGTTTAGACAGAAAATGTTCAAGGTGCAGTCAGTAGAAATTTCTTTCATATACTAGTTAGTCAACATCCTATCATTGATGTGTTCTAATGTCAGGATCTAAAACTTTATCTTATTGCTTAGTTCCCTCTTGAGTAAAATGTATCTCAGGTAAATATGAATTAAATGATCATAACATATCAGCAATGTGGTTGTTATGGATTATATTGAGGATGACATTCCCATAGCTTTATACATCATTAGACTAACAGGAGACAAAAAGTTGTTCTCTAGGTACCATATTAAAATTTTAGACAGCAGGGAACTCTTTTATGCATCAATCACTGACCCCTTTCTTTGTAGATATACTGTATTATAAAACTTAAATTCAATATTGTGACATTAATAGCACCATTATCTCATCTTTAAGGGTACGAATTTAAGTAATAAATTTTTGTATTAAAATGATTGAATTGAACAATTATTGTATAAATAAATGAATACTGAAGTTATTGTCGTGTAAACATGTGAAATGAGTTGGCTACATACCGAGAATTTACAACTCTTCTTGCATAGCAGAAAGAGGCTCTTGTGGAGCATTGCATTGAATGAGAAAGGGCAATACTCCATATCAACTGTTTTGAATGAGAAAGAGCAATACTGCAATCAAATGCTTTGCCCGCACGCAGCTACTCCACTCTCATGCAGGGGCAGAGGACTTGATTTGTGAAGTGACTGTTTTCCTCCAACGATTGATTAACTAGAGGTTCCGGGCGCCCCAGCGGAGACATGCTCTCCCGACTGGTCTCCCGGCGTGTGTGGTAACGAAGTGCATGTCCTGTCAATGTATGTAACGGCAGAGGAGAGGGCAAGGATGAGGAAGGAAAGATCGCGTGAGTCCCATGGCACATTTGTTTGCAAAACCCTGGCATTCGCTTGGTGTTGATCGGAGAATCAGAGCAGAGCAGCCAGCCGCTAGAAATGTCCACCAGAGAGCGGCTGATTTCAATGTTTCTTTTCTATTTAGAGTGTGTCGAAAATCCGCCACCGCCGTGGCACGAACCTTCGGTCGAGTCAATGCACACGCAGACTCAGCACCGATGAATCTCCGGCGAGCGCGCCAGACCCGCCAGTCACTCGCGTGTTGCCATTAATAATAATAATGATGATGATGATGAAGATGCATGAATGATGATGATAGATAATAATAATAATAATAATATAATAATAATAATAATAATAATAATAATAATAATAATATAATATAATAATAATAATAATAATAATAATAATTTTTATTGAGTCACATATATAATTACAATCGTGTATGTGAGTCAATATGATGTCTTGGGTGGAGTGAGCGAAGTTACATTACTGTTCAGGAGCAACAAGGGCCATCTTAGCATTTGCTCAAGGACCAGAGAAACTGAACAAAATATGATCTAGACGGGGTCATTGGCCTAGAAATTATACTACAATACTTGTTACAGATAGATTAGGATATTATAAAGTAGATAATGATTTTAGTGGATTTTTTAGTGTTATTTTAATGGTACTACTTATAATAATAATAATAATAATAATAATAATAATAATAATAATAATAATAATAAACATTACATTAATAATAATAATTACATTAATAATAATATAGAACAATACATAAATCAATTGTTAGCAACTACATAAAATTTAACAATATTAGTACATTCTATATTTAAAACTTGAAATGGTAAGGAGGCAAGTTTTGACCAGTTTTTTTATTTCTTCTTTCAATTTGTACACGTAGTTCAGAGAGAAACAGATTTTTTTAGGCATTCTCCTTCTATTTCGCAGGATGCCAGGTTTTTTTTCTTTGCTTTAGCTCGAAACAGTTAACATGAAACAGAAAGTCTAATGGAACAAGAAATTCTTATTTATTTATATTTTTAAGGGAAATGTAATTTGAATATTCTTTTACACTGTAGAACATGTTGTTAAGCAGGAAAGATTTCAATTTACTTTGAATGTATGAATTGTATTTATGTCTTCAATATCATTGCTTAGTTTGTTGTAAAGTGTAATGCCCTCTATTAGGGTACTTTTTTGATAAAATGTAGTTTGAGAGTGGGGAACATGTAGGTTATCCTTTTGACGGGTGTTGTTCGCGCATCCATTCGATGCGGTTAACTTTCAATCACCCTCTCTTAACCCGAGGGCGTGTCTGCGCCTTTGGGCTCGCCTCGTCGCTGCGAATCCGGCCACTGCCATTCAGACGGGTTACGCGGCTTCGCGGGAGGGAGTGGGTGTAATGAGCGTGGTTTTGCGGCAATTCAACCGGGTGCCGGCGAAACGTCTGTTAATGAGCAAGTGAAAATGTATGTGGATGAGCGATTACAAATAGCGCCCTAATCATATGTATTTTATATTTTACATTTTGCGTGTTATCAAGAAAGCTGACGCGCTTATTACTGTGTACCATATTGGAATAGTTGCAAAGGCGTTAGCGCAGGCGGGCTGTGGGTCTCCTGAAAATTCCAAAGGGAGCCATATAGACAGTGGAGGCTCATGTTTAGCTTGTACGGTTGCACAACCCCCAGATAATTGAAAAATATCTTATAAAAAGATAACAATACACATTTTCCTTTTAATGACATTCAGTATTCAAGATAGGCTCCAATATCGATGTGTATGAATCGTTTTTAAACCAAAGAGCGCACAAATGGCGTTCCTTCCGGCGTCTAGCCGTCTCCCAGGTTTGCACCGAATCACACTCTTGTCTCTGAGATTACGTTTACTGCATTGACTCTTTGGCCCTAGGCTTCGACACAGGACCTTCCGTGGCACAACACCACTTGTCGCCGAGGGCAGCGCGGCGTCCGAGAGGAATGCCAATTTTCTGTCTTCGTCTGACTCTAGCTGCAACTTAATTTTATGAATTTCTTGTGTTATTGAAAGTACACAAGTTGAGTCAATTATTGACGGTACATT